TATTAGTTTCGCTATTATATGCCGCTTTAGCTTTGTAAATTCTTAATTTAATCCCAATGCTTATATCCACCATTATTGTTGGCTCACTTTGATATCCTTTTATAACCCATTATCTTTGGACCGGCAGGTTTCTCCTACCTACACACTAGCACATTAACTCCAAACCTTGTGATAGTCTATGTGTAGGGAGGGCTAGAATATTACCATAAAGGTGGCATTACTGAGAAATGTGTTATTTTCTGATTGTACATTGTCATGATGTCTTACTTCCCTCCACTCCCCAGTAATTCCATCTGTTTCGAGAGCTGACAGGATCACAACATTGGGACTCCAGTAGAGTATTTCAGCCGTCTGTCTTGCCCTAAATTTATGTTTTATTCTCATATTTGCTAAAACCCTAAAATAATTGTCAATTAGTTATTACGAATAGTTCTTCTCAGCCGTGATGTTAATTATAGTGATTAGTAGTCTATGCGATGAAAGATAATTTCGGCAGAGAACAACTATATATTAGCATAAAGAGGCATAGAATAGCCAACCAAATCATGAGATGTTTCATTATGTATAAACAGTTAGACTATAAGTAGGTAGGATTGCGGACGGCCACCTTTCTTGTCCTCGTGCTTGGTAGATTATCTTGGTTTCCTGCATGGTATCGTGCTCTGACGCCTTGCAACTCGAATGAAAGGAACAATTAATAAATCTTCAATATGAGAACAACTTTTGGGAAAGCAAGGCTATGTGAAATTCAATGGAAACGTCAGCTCAACTCATATCATTTTGGTAAAATTCTTCTTCTGCCAGTCCTTTATCACCTCAGACGAAATTTGGTGAACACATCTCATATTACTGATTTACTGGTAGTCTCGAAACTCTACTCTAATATGATAAATCTTTACCTGAGATCAATATGCGCGAGCATTTTAGGCGGCTCTTCTGTAGATGAAATACATGAAATACATGGATCATAATAACTAGCTATAAATAGTATGAATGTAACGGTAAAATGAAAATAAATAAATAAATAAATATATTCAATAATGGATATTTCAGCGCTCTTTTGAGCTGCTGTTGAGGCTGTTTCAAATGCTCGCTGATGCAACTTGATAATTTGGATCATTGGATGCGTACTTTCTAAAATGAGGCCATTAGAAACAGAGTTAGATACAAGAGAAAGTTAATAGAATTAACATTGGATTAAAAGTTACTCAACGGCTGTTGCGAAGAATCATCGGCCTGGGAAGATCAGGAAAGTCGCGTAGTTGGTTAAGTTTATTTTTCGTATGTAATTAGATATATTTAAGTCATATTAGCTAAGTTCGGTTTAGTAAAGGGTGATTTGTGTTGTGCTGGACGAAATTGCCTCGTCAGCCTCAATGTTGATGATGAAATTAGGATTTTCTTTGTACTTTATTTGCTTTATGTATCCTTTCACCTTTAAACATTTGCTTATTTGTGAAACCTGTTACAGATTGACGGTGATTCGTGGTCCGGCCTATGCGTGCCCGGTCGCATCAATCTCTGGCCTAGGCTGACTTTGCTCCTTGGCCCACTCACTATATGTCTTCTTGTACAGACAGTATTCTTCTGTCAAACCGGCTTTCGTCTCGTTAAGCTTGCCGCTGGCCTGCAGTCAACCAGACATTTGGATCTCGGTGATTGTTGTTGCCGTTTCCTCCGGCAATTACGACAAAGGCCCCACTCGATGGACTTGCAGATGGCCAGCAGACTTAGGCGTAGTGCACTCGGTTTAGGTATGTTTTTTTTGAAACTTCACGTTATTGTGCTATTTTTTTTATCAACGTTCTTTATATGAAATGTATACACCCTATTTCGTTTAAGATAATGGAGGACTGATAGTATCTATGAAGCGAAGTTATATTTGCTATACTAATTGACTACATTACTTATTTTTCGTTTATAAGCAGAGTTTCGGGACTACCAGTAAGTTGGTTACATGATATGTATTCACCCTATTGCGTTTGAGGTGATGAAAGCCTGGTAGTTGAATTTTCCCGCTTCGTCAAAACTGCAGGCCATCTTGGATGAGAACACCTTTTAGGAAGCAAGGCTATGTTAACTTCGATGGAAACGTCAGTTCTACTCATGTTGTCGTGGGAAAATTCAACTACCACTCCTTCATCACCTTAAACGAAATAGGGTGAACACATTTCAAAACAAATTTACTGGTAGTCTAAAAATTCTGCTTTTAAATGAAATATAAGTAATGTAGTTGATTGCAATAGCAAATAAAAATGTGCTTCATCGACAATCCCACCAAAGAATGCGATATATTAAAATGCCTGGCCTTCCTTGAAATTCACCTGCCCTGGATGAAAACACCTTTTGTGAAAGCAAGGCTATAGGAAATTATATGAAGAAAAGTTGGGTTTCGAAGAATCTCTTGTTTCATAATTGTTGAGCTTATTTCCATTTCTAGTAGGGGTGTTGGGTGAAAAGATTCGAAGGTCGGTTCCATCAGAAGACGTCGGCGGATTCCTCTTGACCAGCTGTCGATTGGCTTTATTGGAAGATTCATGCTGACGCTGTTTCCGAGGTAATCTTCTTCGATTCCGGTGAAGAGGTGCTAAGTTTTTGTCCGTCATATG